CAAGGGTAAGGGGGAGCACTGATGATCCTAGCTGCCCCTGCCTCAGGCAGGGTTTACCAGGTGTTGGCAGGACGGCAGCATTGTGCCGCATCGTATCGGCTCGGTGTCATGAAGCCAGTGGCAACAGCTCCTTCTGCAGCCGTGGCACCTTCCAGGGAGCAAGGAGTGTGCCAGCCCACGGGAGCCAGCACGATTCTGCTTCCCCTGGGGCTGTCCTGGTCCTCAGGGCTCAGAGAGCCACTTTTCCTCTTGGACTGCAGCCCCGGTACAGAGGCCTCCTCTCACCCCCTGCTAGCCCACCAATGCCAAAATTAGCCTCCCCTGTGTGTGTGCCGAGTAGAAGAGCCACAATTGTATTTCAGGAAAGCATTATTGTACTCTGCGAGCCCTATCTTATCAGGGAAAGGAAAATGGGACTTTGACAAATTGCCTCTGTCCAGCCGGGGTAAGCACATGATTTTCGGTAATCACCCACCCTGGCCGCAGCACTGTCGCGGCCACTATTGTTCCCGGCCCCGGCGCTGCGCCGTGCGGGATCCGGGCAGCCACGACCCTCCTGAAGGCGAAAAAGCAGGCAAGTTCCTGGCCACGCTCCCTTTGGTTGCACCCTGTACATTGTGTTTGCAGGTGGGGATCCAGCTGAAGTTAGATTGATCCCTTTATCAGGAGCCTTCTAGCGCTGATAAGGTGACATCAGCCACCGGAGTGGGGACTTGAACTCTTTTGCAAGGGGAGATGATTATCAGCAGGCTCTTGGCAGGGCTGCGCTTGCTCTTCAGCCCCGCAGCTGGAAGCAGAGCCACCCGCTGAGCCTCTGACATGATAGGAAGGGTTTGTTTTGCTTTGCACAATGGCTGCTCAGATCCTGTCCAACAGCGGTGCAGAGAGCAGCGCAGGGCACTTCAAAGGCACTCAGCTTCATACTGCCATGGCACGGGGCACCCAGCACGGCCGGTGGCCGTCCTGCCCCTGGGACACTCAGCCTGGCCCCAGGGGCAGCTCAGTCCCTGAAGCACCAGCTGCAACAAGAGGCACGTTGTTCCCAGTCCCAGGGCAAAGAGGATCATCGCCTGAAGAGCTTATGTCATCTCACCGGGAAGCCCAAGAGCAGCCCAGGAGTCCAACTCGGCTCACAGAGCATCCCCACAGGGAGGACAGCCGGTCACTCCTGCCATCTCCCCACTCCTTGCTGGTGCAAGGCCACCCAGGGACCATCACTGGCAGGGCTGAGAGAGCCGAAAGAACCCCCTGAGTGCATCCAGATACCCCAGAAACCACGTCTTCTAGAAGAGCAGGTAGCAGTGGGTGCTCAGCTCACCTCTGCTGCAAGCCACAGGGCAGGAGAAGACCCGAAAGGCAAGCGTCATGGCCATCAGGACAGCCAGCACAAGCCCACAATGATGTCCCAGGGAGAACGCCTGCCTGGCTTACTCGGTTCACCTGCCTTGAGGGGTAACAAACAGCACAGGGGTCATGCTGGGTGCATGCAGCCAACCTCATTGTCCAACTGCTCATGCAACGCGTGGCTGCAGCAGGTCTAGCCTGGCAGCAGTACTGGGAATACTCCGGCACGCTCTGCACTGGGAAGAGCTCTTCACCCTGCCACGCATGACTGGTTGCTGGTGGAGTGATCTCCATTGGTGGTGTTGGGGCCGGTGGTAGCTCCCCAAATACCCCAGCAAAAGCTGCCACTGAGAGCTACAAGGAGTGGGCAGAGAGCTTACAGCAAATGATGCTGCAGGGATGTGCAACACCCACCCGGTGTTACAGTGCTCTGTGCCCTTTCCTGCTCTGCTGCTGGGTCCTGCTTCCCAAGGCAGGATGAAGGGACAGACTGCCAGGTGCTGCAAGCATCACAACCTCCCAACCAAAGCTGCTGCTGGCCCGATTCCTGCACGTCTCCTTATGCCTACAGCTCAGCCCTCTGCTTTCCAGAGCTGGGCCATCAGTGTCAAAACAAAGGGGAAAAAACCTAGATGGAGCGAACACAAGATCTGAAAGGGCTGAGACCACTGATCTCCCCTCACTACGCCCCAAGGCAGAGAGCAAGTGCAGCCGCTTCGGAGCTGCAAAGCACAGCAATATGTGATGTGGCTGAGCCCCAGCACCCTCCCGCACAGCTTTTCCTTTCACCCAGCTCCCTGCAGCATTCCCTCCCACAGCCTGAGCAAACACCATCGTGCCCCTTTGCAGCTCCCACCCTGGGACCCCCCACGAGAAGGGAGCAGGCGCTGCCTGGCCAGGCACAGCACCCATCCTGCTGTTGTCTAAAGTTCAACTGTTAGTGACGGGACACCAAAGCAGCCCTTGGGACAGACAAGAGGCTCACTTCTGGGGCCAAAGCAGAGCAGGTCAGCGCAGGGGGACAGCCCGCAGCCCACCCTGCCGTTCCCAGCGGCCACAGCCTGCGGGCTTCCTGAGCCAGAGGGGCAGCCCTGGCCTGCCTCCCTCAACTCCTCTCATCATTCATCCAAGTCTCACTGCCCAAAATAGACCACAATGATTTCCGCAGTTAATTTGGGCCTTCTCTGAGCCTGCAGGCTGTAATCTGAACTTGTTTCTGGCCAGCTTCATTTCAGATCTCCCTGTCCCTGTGCTCCAAGATGCAGCAGAGGCACTCGTCCTTTCTGTTCCTCTGCTGCCCTGATGGTACCCACCCCATCACATCCCCTCTTTGGGACAGGACCCCTCTTCAGAGACTCACCTTTGTCCTTACTCAGATGCCATCCGTGCCCCTCGCTCTTCTTCTCATGGCCTACGTAGCTCCGGGTGCTTTGGGGGATGCCCAGCATGGCACAAACACCAGCACGGCACAGATTCACGTGCAGCCCTTGCCCTAGCAGCTCCCACACAGCACCACGCTCCCACTATCAGCCTCCTCTCTGTCCCTGGCCCCACCACTCTGATGTGGAATATAACCTGCCACTCTGTCCCACAGCCACTCAGTAGTGCTAGACCCTTTCAACACATTCTGCCACCAGCTTTAGGATGTTCATACACCCAATAATTATGTATCACTAGCAAATGTTGTGGCCTCCCTTTTCTCAGCTCTTCCAGAGCATTTAAAGCAAGATTTCTTTTGTCAGTGCTTAAATGAAGGACATGGATGGTCCCATGGGATGGAGCAGGAGCAGGCCAGGTTACCTGTTGCTTCAAGGCTCATTGCAAAGCACTGCCAACACCGCTGCCCGCTGCGCACCCGTACGACAGCCACGCATGCTGCTCTGTGCCTCACCTCGGGAAATCCCAGCTCATGCAGACATCCTCCTGCACTTTAGAAAGCAGCTGAGGTGCCCACCCCACCGTCTGAAGCGGAGACTTTTGTTTCACTTTGGGTTATCTTATCGCCATAGGAAAGGCAATACAGCAGAAGAATTTCCTTTCCTTTATGTTTCCAGCCTTTCCATTGTCTGGCGTCTGGATTTCTGAGCCTTGCCACTCAGCAATTCACTCGGGCCTTTGGAAACATGAATGCAGGCACTTCTTATCAGCAGGAGCTCTGCAACAGCTCCTTCTGCTGCTGCAGGCAAACCAGGCAGGGTCTGGCCACCCCAGGGCCCCATCCTCACCCTGCTAAGCCTCACTCTGTTAACAAGCTGGCATTTTCCACTGCCCAAAGCAGATGCCAGCTCAGCCATTCACCTGGAGGAATGGCAGTGCCAGGCAGCATGGCTTGATAAGATTTGACCATGGCATTGAAACACCATCGTCTCCCATTTCTTTCTTCCTTTCAGTTTATTTAGCTGGAGCAGAGCCCAGAGGCCAGGGCAGAATATGTGCCAGTGGGAAGAAAGGACAGCCACCAGCCACCAGCACCTCAGAAAAGATCACGGGAAACACTGTCAGCCCAGGGCTACAGCAAAGGCTCTTTCACTGATGTGCTCCTTGCAGGAGCCACCACCACCCATCCTGGGGCAAAGAGCTAAGCTCTGGCTGCAGGGAACAAACTGGCCCCAGTTGTGCTATCCATCACTCTCCTGTGCAGGAAGATCTTCTTTTCCCCTGTGCTCTGTAACAGACCAGAGCAGGAGTGCAGCCAGGCATGTCCCCAAGCTCCCATCCTGGTTCCTCCTGCTCCAGCCGAGTGTCCAGGCCACCCAGGGCTTCCCCCACTCAGCACCCTGGGGCTGGGGCAGCAGGGCAAGCACATGGTTTTGAAAGACACAGATGATGTTTGAGACAAAGCAGTGCTTCATGTGCTACAAATCCATCAGGGTGGGCTGCGGGGTCCTGGGGATCCCCGGCGCTGCAGCTGCAGCCTCACCAGTGCACACATGGCCCAAGGCACTTGAGTGTGCCCAGAGCTGTGAATGCAAACCGGCTGCTCCCTCCTGGACCTTTGCACGGGCTCCTAATGTTTCTGCAGCTTCCTCTGGTCTGCACCACACACATTTTGAGGAAAAAATCATCCCAGGGCAAGAAATTCACCTTCACAGTGCAGGAATTGGGAGCGCTGTCCTTTATGGCAGCCAGCACCTACCAGGCAGACCACAAGCAATTGTTCAGTCCCCCACATACAGCACTTAAGACATATATAACGTTCCAGGTGGGTTCCTGCCTCGCCTGCTAGCATTCAGCAGTCAGGGATGACAGGGAAGCGTGGCAGCCACCAGTGGGAAGCCACAGTGGGGATTATCCTTATCTCCTGCCTTGCTGGGTAGTTCAGCAGGCTTCAATTCCAGAGTCTGCAGAGCGTGACTGGGCAGGGCTTGTCTGTGCCTCACCCAATACTGGGGAAAACACCAGCCCAACCAAAAGAGGAAACGGCTGGGTTTAAACCCAGCTGTGAGGCTGCACCTCTCCCACAGCTCTGATTCCAGGGAGTGCAGCCAACAGTGATGGGGAAGAGGGACCCGCACACCCCTTTGCAGCAGGACAAGGGTGAAAGGAGATGCTGGAAGCTGTCACTGCTCCACCCAGACAGTGCTCCAGGCACAGCACGGCAGCCTGTGATGGCACCCCAGAGCTTTTCACCTCTCCCAGGAAGCACCTTCTGCTGTTTACTGCTTGCTCAGCTGGGGGGACAGGCGCTCGGGGTGTCTCGGAGGGGCTGCGTGTTGTCTGAAGGTGCCCGGGCACAGCATGGAGCAAGGCTGAGCAGCAGGGCTGGGCTGGCTCCACTGCACCGTCACGTCTTCCAAGTCCCACTGTGAAGAGAAAGGAGCAGGCGGTGCCAGAGCTGGGTGCGAGGGACCCCCGGGCAGCACTGCTCCCCGCAGGGAACTGGCACAGGGCCTGCATCACCTCCTTCCAGAAAGGGGAATTGGTTGTGTTTGGAAAGTAGAAAGTACTTGGTTTTCCCTTTCTCCCTGACAACGCAAGCAAAGCTCAAAGTAGAACAACACTAGTTTCGATTTTTCTCACATGCTTCCCTCCCCAGGCAGGCAACATGAGGAGGGGCTCAGGCACACACAGGGTGGTGGCCAAGCGAGATGTGGAGTCTGTCAAGAGAGGGAGAATCCCTTTTGCCTGGGACCACCACAGCAACTGCTCCTGAGCATCCCTCTGTGCGGTGAGCACAGCCGGTTCCGAGAGCCACTGAGCAGAGACAACTCTTGCTAAAACCCCTGTGAAGCCCCAGACAGAGCTCAGGCTGGTTCACCCATGCCGGCCAACACAAAAGGGCTCTGCAGAAGCTTCCAGTTTCCATTTGCTCTGTGCAGGCAGCAAAAACCTGGCTGGACTGCAAGAACTTCCCATCAGGGACACGGTGATGTTTCTGTTTCTTTGCCTCGACTGCTATGACCCCCAAGTGACAAGGGGCTGGAGATCGGAGGGGGACAATTCCAGGAGGGCAAGCGCGAGTCTGCTCCACCCAGCAAGCACAGCTCCCCACCACCACCACCCACGGGACAGACCCTTTTCCCACAGCCACAGCAAGAAAAAAAAAAAACACTGGGGCAGAATGCCTCTGACTCAGCAGCAGTTTCTTTTCCTCTTGTCCTCACCCCGACCTCTCTTCATGTCCCAAGAGGTCTTGGGCACCTCAGGCGTTCAGCCCTGAGGGATTATACTCTGAGGTGCCCTGAGGAGCTGCTCCCTGCCTCTTTCCCAGCAGCCCAGTGATATTTTTCCCCAATATTTCTGCTGCAAAAGTTGGGGGGGGGGGAGGAAACAAGAAGCGAAAACTAACCCAAAACCCAGCCAAACAAAAAACCTCAGGAAAAAAGCTGGACTAGATCCAGAGCCACTATGCAGTGAGGGTACAGGGCACAGTGCTGCTCCTCATAGACGCGTGGGGTAGAGGAACCTGCCGGGGCCAAGCAATGGCATAAAGCTCATGGGAGCAGGAAAGGAGCAGTGAGCAGAAGGAAAGGATGCTTCTTACTTTAAAGCACAGTGTTTCAGGGCAACTGAGAAAGAGTTCCTTAACTTTGGTAGAAATAGCCTAAGAGGCCCTGGACCCAGCTCCTCACTTGCCAGGGCAAGATCTGCTTTTCCCACCATGATCCTCTTGACCATCTTCCTACGCAGGCTGGCTGGGAACAGCTAGGTCGTGTGGCACTCTTCAGGGGTGCATGTGGGGGTGTCCCCAGGAACCTGCACCTCTGCTGGGATCCCCAACTGAAACAGGGCCCAACACTGCTGCGCTGGGGATGCCTGCCTGCATGGCCAGGGCTGCTCTCCCTCTGCCTTGGAAAGGCCGGCCCCTAATGGCAGGAGAGAAGGATTTCAGCCTCCTCCAGAGAAGTAATAAAGTGTTTTTGGACCAGGCAGTGACTGCAGAAAGCTGGCGACATGCATGCATGGCAGCCCCTTGCTGCAGGACTCCCTGGTGCAAAAGTCATCATCACACCAACCCTTGAGCTATCAGGAAAAGTTCGGAGATGCCTGACCTGACGTGGCATGGTCTGCAGTGGGATGACAGGCAAAGGACTTTTTTGCGTGGTGCTGGCTCTGCCAGGCTGAGGGGAGTGAGGCTTGTACATCACCTGCCACGGACTGCAGTGTCAGAAGAGCCACAGTACCCCATGGCAGAGCAACTCAGGGATTTGAAGTTGGTGAGTGCATCCTGGCTAACCCACAATGCTTCCATTTTCAGGGACAGAGTAAAAAATACTGCTCTCCCGAAAAACAGACTTTGCACAGCACATTTTCTAGTAGGTGGATGGCCTCAGCAGCAGCTCTGACACCAGTCTGTGTGTGAAGGACAGCCCCAGCCTTCTGGACCTCCCGGGGCAGAACTGGGGCCAGCGTTGCACCAGGGCAGCCTGCACTGAAACCCTCCTGCAGCCAACAGCAGCAGCCTGAGTGAAAAATGTCCTTAGGAGAAACTAAGCAAGACTATCAGGTGGTGGTAGGGAAGCTCTGAAAAGGTACAAGTATTGCCCCTCTCCTGATAATAAAACTCTGCTAACAAATAGGCAGACAAAAAAAGAGAAGGGCCAATGTAACACCACCAAGAGGAGCCCTGTGAAAGCCCCTCTTTTCACAGCAGCTTCTCTGCAGGACTGCATCAGCTACAGCTCACAGTAAAAAGACCAGACCTTTGAGTGAGCTTGGGACAGCCTGGAGCTCACCGGGGTTCCAGCTTTTTCAGGAGCAGCCACGGACAGGGAGTCCCCGGCGGGGGCAGGTGAGGCTGTGAGTGGGGCTGGCACACCTGTGTGAAGGGATGCAGAGATGCTGTGGTGGCTCATGCACACCTTGACAGAACAAGCTAATCTCCATGTTCCTTTTCTGAGCTCTACTCTGCGGAGCAGCCTGTGCGCCTCCGCGGTGTCCTGGGCATTGCTCTGGGATGGACCTGTCCAAACAGGGCTCTAGACCTGTCCCCAGCACCAGGTGGATGCCTTAATGTACACACTTCAACAGGGCAGAGCCCCAAGGGAGAAGAAACAACATCTAAAGAGCCAGGAGCAGGAACTGACCTCGAGCTCTGAGTTGTTGGAGGCAGCATTGGAGTTGCTGGATGAGGAGAGCCCAGGGCGCAGGCCCGGGAGCAGGGGGCAGGCAGAGGGCTGTGGGGGTGCAGGGCCTGCTGCACCCATCTGTGCATCCTCGGGCAGCCTCACCACACCATGATCAGCCTGATAGGTGACAGAATGCAAGAGGAGGAGATCAAAGGGAGACATCACCAGGGAGACCACCGAAACCCAGCAGCCTCAGTACATGCACATCACCTTGAGGCTCACATTGCAACAGCATCTGCAAGCTGCTGGCCTCTCTGTGCTGTGCAGGACAGCAAGGCAGATGCATCCGCTCCCCTTCCCTTCGCCCCCTCCCAAATCTGGACATAGACCCCACAGACATCTGCAGAGAGCCCATTCTTTGCCACCCCCAGATCTTGCTCCAGCCCCAGGGGAGTGAACTGAGCCCTGGCAGCCTCTCACCTGCTGCACCAGCCTGATCATCAGGTCTAAGCAGTGGCTGGTTGCCACCATCCTGTGCCCAGACCTGGGTTTTGAAAACATGGTAAGTGGTGCCCAGTTTGCAGCCTGCAAAGAAGAGTGAGCCACGTCAGCTACAACCAGGAGAGCTGTGCCCACACCACAGCCTGCACCAAGGGGCACAGCACCCATTCCTGGCCAACAGCAGTGTCATTCCAGCCACACCATGAACCAGGGACCTGGGTGGGTGCAGGATGGTGCTGAGCTGACATGTCTGGACTCTGCAGCCAGGCCCTCCCCATCTCCCAGAGGGGCTGAGGGATCCCCACAAGACTCCCCGCCTTGCAGCACCAGTTCCAAGCTGCTCCCAGGTCAGAACAGCAGGAAAATACATGTGGCCCTGTGGCGAGGGTGATTTTCCCAGTGCCAGCCATGCCCTGCCTCTGTACCCCTCCTCTGTGGGGCCCCAGTCCACAACATCCCTCCACCCTCCCCTGGGGAGGCAGGGCAGTAATACTGCCGAGCAGGACAGCGCTCCTTTCCACCATATTGAGAGAGAGAAAAACCTCTTCTTCTTCTGCTCCTCCATCATCTTCCTTTCCCTCTCCAGCCAGGAGGGACCAGGCATTGGGGACCTCTGGTACAAGCTGCTTGTCCATCTGGTTCTTGGCCACGAAGGTGATGAACAAGATCTGAGCCCCCGTTAAGGGTATTTCTGGAGTGACAGCGGAGCCCCCTCCCCCTGCCAGCCCCACAGCCCAGGCACTGGGACCAGGAGAGGAGCTGTGCCCCATCCACCTCCACATCCCAGCCGAGAGCCCCAGGAGAGGAGCTGGGAAAGGATACAGCCATGTCCAGTGCAGCCGAGCCCAGGGCAACCAGGAGCCAGGGCAGGGCCCTCAGGATGTGCCCAGGCTGCTGGTCATGGGTGACAATTGCTGCTGCACGGAGGATGCCGGCTGCGGCCGAGCAGAGGGTGGCCCACAGCTGCCTCCGTGTGCACGGCTTCCCCCTGCACTGAGATGCCCAGAGCCTGCTTTGGAGCCACGGACCCCGTCCCCAGCCAGCACAGGGACCTTGCACCCCACAGGCACCCCACGTCCCCCCCAAGGCCGTTGCAAGGGGTCGAAAGAGTCACCACCATGGCTGGGGAGCCCTGCCTGGGACTGGGGGGGCATAAGGGCAGCCATGCCAGAGAGAGACACTTACTGCACTGGAGAGCCTGGGCATCCTGGCCATGAGGGCAAGGAGGGTAGAGAGCAGCCCCAGGACAAAGCCCAGGGCTTCTGTGTTGTCCTGAGGGAGAAGAAACAGGGGAGGCAGGGGAACACCTCCATCACAGCCTGCCCAGAGAAGGGGTCTGAAGAGAGTCCAGCACACACCTCCTGGCAGGAGCCTCATCCCCACTGCTCCAGCCCCTCCCCAGTGATCCCAGGGACTTCACCAGCCCAGAAATGCTGCTGTGTGCAGGGGCTGCCTCTCCTAGCCCCCACCGCCTGGGGTGGGTCCTGGGGGACCAAAGAGCACCCCTGGACCAGCCTTGGGCACCCCAGGGACATGAAACCCTGGGAAACCCAGACGCCAGGTTGGGCAGGGGTGGTAAAGGGGAAAATGCAACTGAACCAAACCTGCTGGTGCTCAGAGCCTGGCAGCTGCCTGTGCTTGCCCCGGCTCTGCCTGCTGCCCACCCGGTCCTGGGGGGATGGGGAGGGGGGCAGCTCACCTCAAACACTGCCCCGAGCAGCCTCCGCTGGGCTCCCTTGAGCTGCTCTTGGGGGGGCCGGGGGCCAGGGGCCAGCAGAGACCAGCCAGCACCCACAGACAGAGGCAGGGTAAGGATGAGCAGACCATCCCGCAGCCGCCGCCGCCTCCTCCGCCGGCGGGGCAGACCTGTGTGGGACACGGGCTCGCTTTCAGGGCGTCATCCTCAGGGACAGGTTTGGCCCCATCCCACCCTCGTGGGCTGCACTGGATGCCCCACACCTCCCCCGTCCCAGCGGCCACTCAGCCACATGCTTGCCCAGGGTGTCACGCTGCTAGCCCAGGCACTGCTGTCCCCAAGGTGCCCACGCCAGGCTGCCCAGCTGGGGTCACACAGTGCTCCCCGAAGCCCACAGCTCAGAGCAGGCTGCCGCCAACCCGCACCGATGGCAAGAAAGGGTTCCCCTGCATGAACCTCCTGGCTTCTGGGACTCAGGCAGGCACGGGGGAAAGAGGGTGAGCAGGAAGCGGATGATGTCAGCCACAGCCATGTAGGCGCCCGTGAGCATCTGGAGAGAGACACGACAGCACAGGGAGGCTGAACCTCCCTAAATGCAAATGCTCAGGCAGCAGCTCACAGCCCCGCATTACGAGCTGCGTTCGCCGTGCCACCTTGAGCCAGGCTGCCAAAATCCAACCCCCCTCAAGGCCCAGCACCCCAGAGCAGCAACTCCACCAGGCAGGTGTGTGTCCCATGGCCGCGGCGGAAGCTGGGCAGGGTGCAGGGAGGTGTCCCCAGCCTGCCGCACAGAGCCTTGCCCACCTGGATGCCGAGCTGGCTGGCGAGCAGCGCTCCAACTGCATTGCAGATGCGGCCCAGGAAGCTGTACAGGAGGCAGAGGACAGACACCTGCCGCCCTCCCTGCCCCGGGCACCCGCAGGACAGCCTAGGGCAGAGGGACAGGCTGCTCCAGCCCTGCTCCACACTGTGGGATGGCGGAGCAGAGCAGCCCCGGGGAGTTACAGTGAGCGGGCAGCGATCCAGCACAGCGCGGCCGGTGTCCAGAGCCCCCAGGACACGCAGCCCAGCTCCCCAGCCAGGCAAGCTGCTGGCCAAGCGGCAGAGCCACCGTGCCCCACGGCCAGCGTGCCCTGCATGGCTGGCTCCGAGCGTCCCCTGAGCAGGGAGTGTCACCACTGGCTGCCAGCACTGCCCGGCAGGTACATCGCCCAGCACCACCCTCCGCCCACGGAACAGCACCCAGCAGCTCCCCCAGGGTAGAAAGCCCACAAACTGCTGGGAGCAGACTCCTGGTCAGACTGGGGATCCCTAAACTGGGCAGAAGAGACCTGGAGGAGAACGGCAGCTCCAGCTCCTGCCTTGCAGGGAGAATTGTTGTTCACGATCCAAGCGCAAGGTATCATAAAAGGGGAGTTCAGCTTCAAACCATATTCCCAAGCCGGCTCTGCGTTTCTGCTGCAGCTGTCAGTGCAGCAGGTAACAACATCAGCCAGGAAAACAAACTGCTTGCATTACAAAACAAAGCCCCCTGAAAGGGGGGGCAGACCACTGGGGTGCTGAAAGTGGTGTGGATCCCAAAGAACAGACTGGAGCCGGTCGCAGCCCGCACTCTCCCTCTACTTGCACAAGACACTTTAAGAAAACAGCAGTCAAAAATGGAAACTTGCCTTCTGCAGAAGGTAAGAGGAGCAGCTGAGAGGCTCATTGGGCAGGTGGCTAGGGTGAAGCACAATGTCTCCTTTGTGCAGGCTCCTGACAACAGAGCAGTGCCCACATTGGCTCAGCCTGCCAGCTGCTCCTACGGGCAGGATTGAGCTGTCAACACCACCCGGCCGGCGTTCCCCAGCAAGGGCAGGGCAGGGCAGAAGCGGTTCTGCAACAGACCAAACCGTCACAGGAAAGCATTAATTTAACCACTGTCATTGCCTATTACCTGGTTTGCCCACTGCTCAATAGCAGCATAAAATATTAACAAGCTTTTAGGTCCACAACTCTTGTTTATGGTTGTCCTTCTATCAAGGAAAAAGTGCTCTAGCACAGCAAGCAGTTTGCATTTAACAAACGTTATTTGCTCAGTTGTATTTACATTACCCTCCATTCATTCATGCAAACACTGCAAGTGGTTCGGCAGGTCTTGTGGCCACAGATTTCTGCAGCAATAAGCAGAGTCATCTCAAGCCTCACAGCGTGGGGATCTGTTATTCACTAGATTTGGAAGGAGCTACACCAGGGCACAGCAAGAAGGCTCATGGAGACCCAGCTGGCAGCAAAGGGCTGAGCACGCAAAAGAAAACTCAGGTATGTGCAACATGAACTAAGAATTAAAAAAGCTTTGAAAGGCGAGAATGAGAATACGTATTTTTAAACTTCAATCAAGGATACCCCAACTTCAATTTGACAGGTATTTGACAGATAATAGCTTCACACTAGACAGGACAAAAAGAAATGGGCATTTCTGAGCAATCAGGTCCCTAAAGTATTATGAGGGACAGAAGGAGAAACCATCCCTCCAAGGAGGGTGGGAAAGCCTGATCAGAGACCGATTTGGCTAGGGCACAACCTCTTCAGGAAACAAAGGCAAAAATCATCTTCTCCAAGAGAACTAGATTAAATAGTCTCTCCTGAGAATCTACTTTCTGCTATGGTACACTGACTTAAAATACTATTGACCATATTCATTCGGTGTAATTATGCTTTAGTTTTACAGGTGGCAGGGAGATACCTTCCCTCCCGTGATGTAATTAAGAACTTTAGAGCAGGGACTCCGGGGGAAGCAGGAACAGAGAGCACTGCTATCAGGGGACCTTCCACGTACACGGTGCAAATTTGCTCTACAGGACAAGTACAAAAAGGGTCACAAAGCCAAAACCAGCTTGACTGCACACCCCACATTTGATGTGGCTTTGTTCAGCAGTTGCTTTCGTCTCTCCATCTACATTTAAGGCCTGGAAAGTACAAAATTACAAGACAGCAATCTCTTTTTTTAGTATCAGAGACCAGTGTCATCTGTTACTCTGCTTCACCACGTAAAACCAAAGCACAACTTGTCTTTCCGAGACTTCCCAGTCCTACAGTTACGCCCTGTGTTGGACTAGGAATGAAGAGCACTGACCAAGTGCACAATATTTTCTCAGCAGGGCAACAAAGGACTAAATCTCACTTAAGTCTGACCCCAAGTGATTACAGTCCTTTTAGCATCAAATACTAATGTATGCATTAAAATCTGCTGCTATGACACTTCTGTGACTAGGTCAATGCCTGACAGGTCTGTGAGACAGAACAACACCACATATAGAAGTAAAATCTCAAATATATTTAAAAACAAGTTAGAACCAGATTTCTGGCTAACATGCTCTGGCTAACAGAGCTAATGTTTTAAAATACCAATGAGAAGTCACACAGAAAAACAACTGATACCAGCTCAGTGTGAAGGGCATAAAAGCAGCATTTTCCTTGCACCGTGTGTTGTGCTGTGCTCTGCCTTAAACTGAGAACTAGGGAGTGGTTTCAGTACCAGATTCTACAGAATAGGGCTGGTATAGCAGAGAAGGAAGAGGACAATAAAGATCCCTTTACCTCGTTTTTCAACACACACTAAAGTGTTTTGTCCAATCAACAAAGAAACTTTAAAAAAGATAAGCAATAGTGTCTCGGTATAACAAACATCACTCATTGACATTCAACTGTTTAAAGATTTTAGTCAGTTTTACAGGGATTGCTTTGATCCCAACAGCTATAAAATACATCCTTTATGGAAGGTAAAGAAAACTTTCCCGCACGGCTCCATCTGCTCCCATTGAAAGGATGTTTCAGCAGCAGTCAAAAGTCTGGGCTGGCTTCCAGACAACACGAACGGCCAGGTCTCTTGTTCTCAGAGGGATGAGCTCCAACTATCAGAGCCCACTTTTATCACCCTGCCCAGGCCTATCCATAGCTCAGAGCTCCTGGGTGAGCTAGTGATGCTCACTTATCCTTTTTTCCCCCTCAGTTCAGGCCTGCAGGAGAGTACGGGCCCTGACGTGGAAGGGCCAGATGCCAATGTCACAGCTAAGCCTCCAGGTGCTTCGTGATCCTGCGAATTTTCTCCTTCCTGTTCCTGTTACCATGTTTTTTCCAGGGCTTTCCTACCACATTCCCAGGATTGGGTGTAGTCCCAGGCACGAGGCCGCTGCCAGGCCGGTATCCCATTGCAGCCCGGACCCCTTTCATCAGGGCACGAACATTCTCCTGGAACAGGAGACATAATCACCAATGAGAAGATATCTTCTACAAGGAACTGTGACATATTAATAAAACCAGACACAGGCAAGCTGAAACCCATCAAGACTTGCTCAGCCCCCCAGCTCCAGAGCTGTAGGAAAGGTCACGCCGTGCAGCTGAGTCAAAGCCTGCCAGCAGGCTCCAGTTCTGCCTGCAGCCATGCCTTGCTGTGCCAGGTTCCCAGCGTCTATCACTGCAAGCAGAGGCAGAGCGTTGACGAAACACCAAGCTCTGACAGACATTAGCCACGGTGCTAGGATTGATTCTCACAGTCTCTGCTTCGCACACAATAATTTGTCTTTGCAAATAAATCTGGCGGTTTTGACAGCCAGTGACTAAAATAACTTGCTCAAGTCTGGAGCGTGGGTAGCACTGCTGGGGCTCACAGCTTGTGCCAGCACTTTGGGCAGCCAGAGGAAGAGTCTGGTAATCCCAAAAATTCTTTTCAGGTCGTAGTTTTACGAAACAGCTAACTATTTTTTGAAAAAGGCCTGAGTTCTTGTTTCAAAATGCATGACTATCTTTAGCTATGCTGAAACAAATACTGTTCATATCCAGCTAACCAAGCAGAACAGATCACACTATCTATGACCCATCCTCTTCACTGCTAAACACCCTGCTCTGATCTTTGTCAGGTGTGCAGAGTTAATCAGTTATGGGTTTGACATTTAGTTACGAGTCATTAATCAATTTTTTCAGTACTTTAGGGGCAAACAGATCCCTGTGGGACCTAACAACAAGCATATAAGTTAAGAGAAATTCCCATTTTTCACTTTGAGATTTCTCAACTAGATTTCAAATCCATTTCTGTGTTCTTTTCATCTGATTTCAGGTACTGAGTCAAAACAACCATGTAGTACTACATCAATAGTCTTAAAGAAGCTTATCATAACCCTTAAGTATGTCATCTCAAGAAAGGAAAGTCAGTTTGAAGGACCTGTTAGTCCGAAACCATGTTCCTGGTTGGTTGTCACACACACCACCTTCCTTGTGTTTCTTCCCAGACACTCTCCTGTTTGCTCAAGTTTGACGTTAGGGCCATGATAACAGGGGTCACCCCGCTGACCTTTTAAAAAAATCAACTATGCACACCTCATTAGCTATCTTTCAGTCAGCTAAGACACTCCCAGTGTTTTAGGAGATAATAAAAAGAACACAGCACTCTTGGGTAGAAATTACATGCAGATGCCAATGGCATGTAACACCATTAACTCAACACAGCACCCCTCTATCCTCAGAGCTATTTTTTCTACTAACTGTGACATACCAGTGCTGCTGTAAAAACTCCTAGAATAAATCTCCTCCAGAATTTACCTGGTGGAAAAATGTTTTGTCTACCACGTTTTCAATTTGTTTTGCTTTAGTTTTCTTCTCAGGCTTCATCTGTCCACTGGCCTGCACCGTTGTGCTCTCTGGACATCTTTGATGCTGGTGCTGAAAATCATTAGGGTCAATGCCAGGAGGTGGATGGCAATATAACAGCTTCCCCTGTGAAAGCAATGCAATACAGTTACTATCAAAAACTCCCAAACCTCAGAGACACCCAGAGAGGAACGAAAACAACTCCAAAGCTAAGAGCAGCCCTGGAAGTTCAGGGGCTCACACCAGCAGACTATCAGTACACTTGATTTCGCCTCCCAGGCAATAACTGACTTAAGTTAAAGCACCATTCTACTTCAAAGCACCATTTCCAGCTGCAAACAATACAGTGAAAAACTCTCAGAAGTATTCAAGGATCCTATTAAGAAATACTGAACAGTAAGTTGCTGAGAGGTGCTGTAGAAGCACGCAGTATTACAACACTCAGAACTATAGTCCTTAGTGCCAAATACTGGTCCAACTACACAATGGGTTCGTTTTCTGAATATCTGCTGCCTATTTTAGAGATAGGATAATTTATTTAGCTATCACCTTATTTTTAAGTAAGCATCTTTTTCAGAGTAAGCCACTTGAGAAATTCCATTTATTCCTTTAAAACACAAAAATAGCCCGATTTAGAGTATTTTAATATATGGCAATTTTATCCAGAGAAATAGAATTCACTTTATTGTACACCTTCATGCTCCAGTGAAGACTTCAATTCACCTCCTAGCAGGAAAGAAAACCCAGGTGTAAGTGGAACTTACATTGACATAGTCTTTTAACACGTATCGAGCCGATCTCGGCTGGTCTGGCTGTCCATGTGCTGTCATAAAGCCTCTCATATCTAGAAGACAAATGCAAAGTACATTCCCTTTCAGTACAACAAGAGAATTATCACATTCTTCTCTGCTGCTTTAATTGCATGTTTGTATCATTTCGCAAAAAAAAACTCCCTTAGGAGGAGGCTTCTGTTGAGGAAAGCAGGGAAAAAATGGAACACTTCTGACTGTAGAGGGACTGCAGAAGCATTCTAGCCTGACAGAAATGATGAGAGCTTCCATTTCCCTACCACCAGAAAACCTGCTGGTTTTTTATTTTTATTTTAAGGCCAGAGAAGATTAACTGCATTAGAGAATCAGACAAGGGAGATAAGCCTTCTCTGTGTTCTTCAAAGTCTAATTCAAGACACAGTTGATGGGAGGCACCTAAAAGGATGACGGCATCACACCGCAGTACACAGACTGGCAGGGCACTTCGCCAACATCCTCAACAGTCACTACATCTGTCAGAGGAAACTGCCAAAGCACCTCTGCAACATACACATGAGATTAGCTGTTAACAAAGGGCTTTCCCGAGAGAGGGGCAAGTCCTGATGGGGAGGTTTGATGCATGACAAACCTGAGTTGGGCCTAAATTTGTAAAGTTCTCTTAAGGCCTTATTCAGAACCAAGCACAGAGCATAGGTCATAGGCTTTAAAGAGATCATCACTCACATCCGTATGCTGTTAGCAGCTCTTCAGCTGTTGGCTTTCGATCTGGATCCTCGTCTTCCCTTGGCCTTATGATATTTATTCCATAGGTTGCTTCCAAAATGTTTCGTGGGATATGCTGGCAAACGTAAGCTAGTGAAGGAATTCACCTGGTGATTTTCAGCTATACAAGTAATCTTGCCCTAGTCACTTCAAAAGCACACAGTACGAGTGACACTTGGATTTTGTCACCAACCAGAAAAACAATGCAAGTCTGACAACAAGACAAACTTGAGATGGGGAAAGACTAACACAGCAGAGCTGTTTTATCCAATGTGTGTCCCCGCCGCCCTCCGCACATGAGCACACGTGCCCCTAGCAGGGCTGGAACATGCTGCATTGCATACTCTAGATCCAACACCTGCAGACACCCTCCCAAACCCCATGCAAAGGATATTAGAGAAATGGGTGGGACATGGTCCCTCATCTGGTCTATAGGCAGAATTCCAGAACAAATCATTTCTGCCTTGGTAGAGATGAAAGATGGCATCACCAGACCAGGGCAGTCACACAGGCACAGGCCAGGCTCCACATACAGGGTCTACACAATAAATAAGCGAGGAGTACACCAAGGCAAGTCAGTGTCCATGGAGGAAAAAGGAACAACAAAAAAAAAATAATTAAAATCAAATGCACAGATAGAACAAGGACGTAAATGAGAATAAGTAGAAATTCTACTAACACAGACATCTGCCCTGCTGGCCCCAGCCAATGAATTAAGGAAATCTGATGTGGAAGACAGCAGCACTTCCAAGCTTCATAAATAAGGTGTCCAGATGGGGGCAGCAAGATCTTCAGCTCTCCAGTCTGACGGGAGAGAAGCAAGCACTCCAGAAACCTTTAACTATGCTGGACCTTTTGAAACAAGTAGGAGATTGTGCAAGTACAAATCCCACAATGCTCATTATAGCATTGGAGTTGCTACCTCAAAATGAAGAGCTTGATCAATATGAAAATGGCATAATTAGGCTTATTCGCAGCAATGACTGCAAACAAGGATGGTTTGAAAGCTTGAACTTAAGCTATTCGGAGGAGCGCTCACTTTTCAGAGGTTCTCTCCTCATGACTGGTATTGGAAAAAGCAGGGCCAAGCTACTTAAAATCAGGAGATGGCAACTATCTGCCATTGTATAGCAGCTCTCATGAATGACTCTCAAAGTGTAGCAAGAGTTTGGAAACATGAACTATAGTTCCAAAATTACAGACATCACGCCCACCCAACCTAGACTCTGCTGGGCAAACAGAGTTCCCAGTGAGTCCACTTGGTTACAACTAGTTTGTAACGAAGCGCTCTTTCACTGGGGGGGGCAAAAAAAAAAAAAAAAAATTGAAACATCAATGATCTTTGTTAACAATACCTGAAAGTGTTTTGTACGGCCTGGTGTAGCAGACACTGACACCTTCTTATTTCCAAGGACTGTGTTGATGGTTGAACTTTTGCCAACATTCGGGTAACCCACCTAGATGACGAAGTGGAATGGTAAGTGCTATCAGTCAGACTGGCAGAGCTCTGACACAAAGGTACTGTAATGAAAAGGACTAAATAAATTAAAGCATGCAGTGGGGAACACTGAGCTCCAGTAACTTCAGAATTAATCTTTGCACAAAAACACCAGTGATTTGTGCTTGCTAGCTTTTTTTTTACCCTTACAGGAAGCCAAGCTACAGAATGAATTTTATCCCTGGAAGCCATATGGAATTAAAATTTAAATTAAGCAAGTTCCATTTAAGCACAAAGTCCAACTCACCAGCCCAACATTTACTTCCCCATCCTTCACTCTTGGTCCTTTATGCATGGTTTTGAGTATCTCCAGCAGCTCATTTCTCCGTACCAGGTGGCTGAAGTTCCTGATGTTCCTGTTCTGCTCCTGCACTACATGCTGCACTGCAACACCATCAGTCCTGCTTTCCATCCTCTCTGGGGCAAGAGCATTTACTTTGTCCTCACCTTCATCTTCAGAACAGGTTTGCCAGGCCTCCTCTTCATCATCTTCACAGTCTTCATATTCATCACTACTGTCATCATCACTAACCAGAACTTCATTTACAGTTTGCAAAGCATTGCCTGTAGATGTGCTTTCTGCACTATCTTCTGTTGTGTCATTGTCTTCTTGACTGGAGCTTTCATCCTCAGAATCATCCAGGTCCTCCGCTACATCTTCAGCATCTAGTTCCTGTGTGAACAGTAATCCATAGGTGAAATGTAAACAACACTAAGTTTTGCTGTTGACTGTAGTTGCTGCAGTGCAGTCAACTGTGTTTTCATCAGCCAGATCCCAAGGACTGACAATTCACTGCTTATATCACACAGGCTTTTTAGCGGTCTTAAGTAGGATGTAGAAACAGCTAGCCTGTTTTAGGAGAACAACAAAAGTATTCCAAGAGGGATTGTCAGCTTCATTGTGAAGTTGTCAGAGGTTTCTCCCCAGATGCACAACTCTGAATGCGCACATACCCACAGCATCCTTACACACAGCAGAAGCAGAGCCCAGCAAAATTTTTTTTTTTAAATTATGTGTAATAGGAATGAATGTAAATTTTTCAAAATCTTCAGAACACAAAGCTATTTTGTTTCAGATCTATATATTTCATTAAAATAATTTCAAGCTGTCTTGTTTTCAGTCTAGCTCTGTATTTCTTTCCTGCAAAGAGTTCACATTCCAAGAGAAAGACCTTTTCATAACAGTAGTACTTTGACATTTCTTTCCAAAAAAAGGAAAAAGGAACTAATGCTTTCATTCTCGCTTTTAAAATCAATCTGTAAAAACATTTTATCCAAGGACTGTAAACCAGATGAACAGACCAGGTACTTTTGGAAGGAGATATGGGATATTCCACCGCTGAATAGTTATGGCTGTAACAGATGAACAAAGTAAAACCTGAAAGTGACATCTACTGATAACACGTAACTTGGGGCAGCAGCACAGTTTGTTCCACCGGGCAAATAAAGGCTCTCAAGTACTTTAGGTTTTCTAAGGAACACCTCCCCTCCCTGGGAGAGAAAAATCCTCTGTACAGATAACTGCATCCCCCAAAGCATCCCTCTTGGAAAGAATTCCAATTCTGTCTATGAGTTAAGAGTTTCCAAACAAATCTACAAAGGCTGTTTCTGTAGCTGTTCATCAGTAGCCTGAAGCAAGAAATTAGCATTCTAGTTCAGTATTATTTATCATGTCATTAACCTTGAAAGAGAAGCTGTAAGCATTATGAACAGCGACTGAACAGTGTAACAGTTTGTTCACCATTTTACTCTCCTCACTTTTGTCTCTAAACTAATCATTAAAATGCTGTCTTACAGCCGCATAGGTCCTGAGCATAATCCTTCCCTAAGACAAGACTGTGCCTTTTCTAGAAAGGTGCTTAGGTGTATCACAAGCATAACTGCAAAGCAAGTTATCAGAGGCAGCCAGCACATACCCAGTTTGAATTGGTCATCTACAGTACCTTTGCTTCTCCAGACAGCCGTTCACACTCTGCCAGAGCTGACCAGAACACCACCTTAACACCTTCCTTCTCAAAGAACTGTGCCCACGCAGCCCGCTGCTCCTCACTCAGCAAATCTGCTTTGTTTATCAGGATCATGTTCTCCTTGTCATTGCCAACCTCCTTAACATAACTTTCCTTAAAAAACAAACAAAAAAAAACCCAAAAAGAATGGGTTCATACTCTGGTTTGGACTCCTCTTCCCCTCAAGGTGATACAAAAGCAGCAAGACAAGTTACCCCATCCAGCTCCATACGTGTGTAGCTAAGCTCACCATCCCACCTGGACTAGATGGAACTGGTGTTTAGCAGATGGCTACTAGGACAAATTGGAGCATGCAACTACCACAGCACGGGTTGTTTCCAGCCACCTGTGCAAACACCTTGTCTGCTTAGAGCTATGACAAGGTATTAATCAGCACCTCACAGCAGGAGCTCCCAAGATCAACTATTTGAGCAATTTCGTATCTCATTGATGCACAGTGTTCTATAGCCTATCATCACAAAGTTGTCACTTCAATAATTCTTGATCCTTCACTTTCAGCAGAGTAATCCTCACACATTTTTATTCCACTATGCTTTTAAACAGAATAATTCCTTTAAGTGCAGACACTTCTAGGGGGTAATGAAGAACAATATAACTATCTGCAAAATAACACCTGCAGAACTGCCTCTAAATCCACAACACTGAAATATCAAAAAACATTGAAGAAAAATAATTCGATGCCAGAATATTTGCATAAATAAGATAAGCAAAACAGCAGAACAGTTTCAAGGTGGCTGAATGTGTTAAACAAAGAATGAATCATATAACTCTAAGGAATAAAATGAAAACAACATTCAAGGAAGTGGTTTACTTACCAGATCTTGGCATCTAAACAGAAGGGGATTTCTAGCATCTACTATCTGGACTACAATATCACTGCAAAAATAAAAGAAAGCCCCATAAAGTACTCTTTCTTACTTTGCCTCAAAGAAAGCAGCAAGGCACAGCACATTACTCGCTGTTAGGATTTGCTTGGAATTTTTATGGTTTTAACTGTACTATCCTAACAAGTACCTCTACTGAATTAACAAAGCATCTCGGCATCCCACGTGCCCCAGCAGAGCCATGCTTATGCTACAAGCCAGTACTGCTGTACAGTATTTCTGCCTCACTTGGCTAATTCTCCTGTACAGCCGGCAAGCAGAAAGGAAGCATGTGGGTTTCATCAATCCTTCTACCCTTCAGAAACACTTAGCAGGCAAGAACCAGAGCAGTGGTGTTCTCTCCTTTAGAATGTTACTAAAAACTGTGATAACACAACTTTATTTATGTCTACTCTCATCCCCAAAATACAGCAGGGTGGCTGCAGAGAGGAAGAAGTGGATTTCCTACACAGGAAGATATTCTAGTACAGTGTTGTTCCCTTTGCGTGGAGCTAGATGTACTAAGTCTCCCACAAATGACCTGCAGATTATTAGCATTTGCTACTAGGCATTTTCAGAATTTCCGTTGTGCTCTTCTTGTCACAAAAAGCATATAACAGTGAAAGAACAGTCTTAGACTCCACGTTGCTCACCCATGCAAGCAAGGCCTTGAAAGAGTGCTTTTAGGAAACATCTTCCAAATCTAGACACCAAGCTGCTACCATATATGTGAGCAAGACTCATCAGTTCTACATGCAAATTAAATGCACTGGGTTCAGATACCAGAGGCATCCATGCTGCTTTTTTCAAAAGGAGAGGGAAAATTTAACTACAGCCTCTTCCACTAGTGCTTCTCCAGGCAGGTAATTTAAAATACTGGTTGCCACGTACTGATTCTATTCATTTGACAAGGATTTTTGTTAACTCAGGACAGCTTCAGAAGAACACTACGGGTTGAACGAAACAATTTCAAGCCTCATTGAGCAGTTGGTTACATATTTAAAAAAAAAAAAAAAAAAAAAAAAAAAATCAATAAACCCCCCCAAGAGAGTCATTTAATAAGCCACATGGGCACAAAGAGGTACTGAACAGTTACAGAAATTCAAAGACCAATAACAAAGTTGACACCATGGTATTGGCATAGGATATAGAGAAGTTATCGAATCACACTGCTGAGAGCTAGTTTGAAGCAAACACAAGAAAAAGCTGACAACAGATCAAATTATCTGGCAAGGTAAGGAACTGGGCAACCTTTCCATTTGATTCTGAGACAGCATCCTTACTCTGCATGAAATTAAAAGCTCCAACAAGAGCAGAAAGGTGTAACACATTTCAGCCACCTCAAAACACACAACACTCACACTGCCCAACACGATATCCCATCATGGATGCTCCCGACCCAGTTCTCTCCCAGCCAAAGGCCTAGCAGCACCCAGTACAAAGCCACTTCTGTGAAAGGACCAGCTCACCATGACCTCACTGGTGAAGTATTTTTCAATTTTAGGAAAATCAGACGAGATGATCTCAAACTTAATTACTAGTGAAATTAAATGCCCCAGTTAGATTAACATAGCAGATAGCACTCCTATTGTATTACAGCTCAGCAGAGCAAACAGAGCTATTTCTGTGATATGACAGGCTGTTGTCTTTTGTTCATTGCTGCCATTTCTATGCATGGCAAGAGGCCAAGGACCAATAGGCTATTTCTTTCCCAACATTATTTAGCTGATCTCCCTTGCCTCCTGCCCCTGAACATCAGGCTACAGCTGTGTGGTTGAGAAAGAGGGGAAAGAGTTAATCTTGGCAAAAGATCTCAAAGACACATTCTCAAAAGAGGTCTCCCACACAGTTCCTGGAAGAGGCCAAGAGCAGCAGCAGCATCCGAAGAATCGCCAAAGACTCACAGCAAACCACCTGCAGAATCCCAGTGCTGAGAGCTAGCGTGCACCGCTACGCAGCTGCCCTTCTTCATGTCACATGTTGATCACTTCAAAACAAAATCACTTCAGTGCTGATAATAAAACATTACTAACTGGAATTGTTTTTCCTGTGCTCAGGCACTTGAAACTTGACTCAAAAGCTTCAACTCAGGAAAACACATTAAACATTACTTTCAAAAAGCAGATAGAGATATACTTACCTTCTTTCAATGACTCTCCACAGTTGACGCCAAAATTCCAAGTTTCGTTCAAATGGTGTTAGAATCAACTTTTTTTCTTCCTCTAGGCTAAGGCAAAACAGCAAAAAGACATCATATAAGGCCCACGTCAGGCAATAAGACACCATCAGTTCTTCCTTAGATCCAGGAGGCTTTAGTGTCAGAGAGTGCTGCCAAATCAGACTAATAAAGTAGGAACTATTTCTGCTAGATTTGCAAATAGATCTGCAACGGTAAATTGGTGTCAGTGGCACTGGTTCAGCAGTGACACAATGGCTCCTGATCATGCCAATGGAGAAGTGATAAATGATGGAAAGAGCGAAGACTCATCAAAGCCTGCCCATGAAATTTCAGAGCCACAACAGTAAATCAGAGAAGCTATCCCAGATATCAGCAGTTTGAGTACTACCTGGAAAAAATAACAAAAAATAAGAATTTGGGGATGGTACCTGAAATGGTTCTATGCAACCTTTGATTCGCTGTCACCACCACCTGAATGACTTTACTGAGGGCAAGCACGGGTTTGCAGGGTGTGAGCAGATACCACCTAACTCTCCAGGCCAGCAGATGCAGCACCAGACCAGCACAAGCTGCGGTACGCAGGCTGACAGTGCTGCACTCCAGAGCAGGACTGCTGCTCTTAGAAGACGCATGCACCACTCCTCCACTTCACAGGCAAGAGCAGAACACCACACTCTATCCTGAAGAATTTTAACTGTAAACAGTACAAGAATATGCACACAAAAGAGCTTTGCAAAACTTACCACAGGGACATATCTGGACTGGGACGTCCAGCCTTCCAGAACAAGCACAGAGAGCTACAAGACGTTAATTTTATAGGTCCGGCAAGAATAAATAGAACCCACTGCTTCCTACATCTCCAAATGCCACCAGCTACTTACCCAGGCACAAGTGGCATACTCACTGGGCAAGCTGTCGCCTCCATTCGAGAAAGCTCTCTCTCTCAGCTTGCTTCAAGTCCTCCGCACTGGTTGTCCTATCCCAACGTGGCCTGCAGCAAGCACAATTTGGAGCGAGTGGTCAGAAGTAGCAGTTAGACCAGTTATGCTACTGCAAAAAAATCCATAAAGACCACAGGCACTGCACATTCAGCTACACTGAGGTGGTTATAGTTCAGACGCATGTGCACCAATTCTCAGAAGCTTTAAGTACACACTTTTGCCTTTTTCCCTTCTAAACTCCACTAGCCGAGAAAACACTATCCTATCCACACTGGGTCTCACAAA